AATGCAGTAACTCAAATGCGTTTAACATGCCTTATTAGGCCAGTGATAAATGGTCAGCCGCTTTAATTAAACATAGCTTGAAGTTTCCCCTCTAAAGCTAATTATAAATGCATCTCTCCGACAATCCATCTTCTTTATGATGTGACTCAACTGACTGTTCATCAGAAACCTCAGCCTTGTTTAAACCTACAGTAAAATTGGCGTAACAGATTACTCATCTAGTTGTCAGAACAAGCTGTTGGATTTTAAATCTGAATAAAACTCAAATAACACTTCACATACACGCACAATAAACACTTGATATAGAGGCAATATCACTTCCTCTCTCAGTTGATTAGTTTGTTTTCCAAGAAACAGTTAAGAAACCGGGAGATTAAATATTAGACCATTGGAATATTGTAACTGAGCCAGGACGCATAACTGCCGTAGGGTGATTTAGAAATGATGGAGTGCGGTATTATGCAAACTCTTTCCAATAAGGCCCGTGCTTTAAGTTCACGTCACATTTAATGACTCCATTGTGATAGTAAACTGCTGTTTTGTATAGATAGACAATACCTCTGCAATACAGGATGAAGATTGTCCTTATTTGCCCTTACAGTGCCAGGTGCTCTCACTAACCAAAGGCTTCCTGTCTGGGGGCATTGCACAGATACGCTCTCAATGAGACGGTAACAGTAAACTCTAGCCAGTAACCCTAGACCCGTCTGGGGCCTGAAACCAGCCCTGGGTGGCCCAGACGCAGGACATGTTAAGCCCACCGATGCGAAAACAACATGGCAGTGTGTTTGGACAACAGCCTTCAAGCCCGCATCCATCAACATACAGTAGGAACTGATAGCACATTCAAAGAGGTAGCTGGTAAACAGGTAAACCGATGAATGTGTGAAAGAAAATGCCGACTCAAACACCTACTGTCGACTAACAGTCAAACGTAAAGTCCTTTTAGTCTTTAATGGCTGAGAAGTAATGTAGTTTACTCCTTTTTACAAAACTAAATATGAAAGCAAGTTATACAGTTCCAACACAATCTCACAGGAATTCCTAACTTTTTCATTTAGTGGCTAATTCGTACGAATTCGTACGATCTAATTCGTGCATTTTAGTATGATTTGCTCATCCCCCAATGACGGTTGGGTTTAGGGGTGGGGTTAGGTGCCACGCCTCCTTTTTAAAATCGTACAATATCTTACGACTGAACTCGTACGAATTCGTACGAATTAGCCACTGAACTGCCAAAATGTAAAATACTTACGTTTTCTCGTGAGATCAGGCTGACCGTTCAGAAAAAAAGTATGTGAACCCTTTGAGATAACTTGGATGTTGGCATGATTTTCCTGAGAAATTTCTTGATCATCAATAGGAAAAACACAGTCTGCTTAAACCAATACTACAGAAATATTACATGTTGTGTTCAATAAAAACATGCACACATATAATTTTTGTGTGATATTAGTTAAAGCAGGCTGTGACTTCAAAAGACATTTTCTTCACATAATCTTGTCTTGCAACTGCATATAACTGTAATGCATGCTCAATTGGATTCATGTCAGGTGATTGACTTGGCCATTGCAGGACATTCCTATTCTTTCCCTTCAAAACCTCTTTGGTTGCTTTTGCAGTATGCTTCAAGTCATTATCCAACTGCACTGTGAAGCGCCGTCCAATGAGTTCTGAAGTATTTGGCTGAATATGAGCAGGAAATATTGCCTGAAGCACTTCAGAATTCACCCTGTTGCTTTTGTCAGCATCACATCATCAATAAATCCAAGAGATCCAGTTCTATTGACAGCCATACATGCCCACGCCATTTCACTACTACTGTAACGAATATGGCAGCTTACCATTCATCCGCCCACCAGAGGGAATATTTCCCGAATCCCGAATATTGACTGGGTACTTCCTCGGTGGTACTTCCTGGTAGCCACGATATATAAGCACACTGCTCATGTCTGTTCTTTGCGAAGTATTGCCAGTTTCACTGCCTACTAAGCGTTTTCCTACTGCTGTTTCTGCCATTGTGTTATGACCTTTTTGCCAGCCCTTTTGACTACTGTTTTTGGATTTTGGACTTTCAGACTGCCTCTTTGTTTGCTTGTCGTTGCCTGGTTGATGATCACGATTCTGCCTTTGTTTGATGCTTTTGGATTCAATCCGCCTCCATGTATTCACCTACGGCTCCCTCACAACTACCACCATGCTAGGCTCATGAGCACTTCCTTTCCTTCTCCACACTCTTCTCTTCCCATCACTTTGATACAAGTTAATCTTGGTCCCATCTGTCCATAAGCACTGTGAAAGTTTTTTTAGAACTGTAATCTGGCCTTCCTGTTTTTGAGGCTCACTAATGGTTTACATATTATGGCGAACCCTCTGTATTCACTCTGGTGTAGTCTTAATAATGATTCCATGGCTTACTCCGATTCAAACGCATCCTATAACGTAATTTTCCATCATACTTTTTTTTTCCTCGCTATTTAGAATTTTTCGCTAAACCTGTTTGATCAAACTCGCCCCAGGCCGTTTATCCGATTTTCACCAAAATTCATGTACATGATCGATAGACCATGCTGACCAAAAGTTATGGAATTCAAGTTGATTCGACTTACCGTTTTTACTTAACTTGCGAACAAATCTAACGTAAAGCTTGCAAAAAAGGACTTAAAGCGTTATCTTCGTAACGCATTGATGTATTCACACCAAGCTTGGTGAGTGTTAGGACAACCATGGTCTGAGCTTATCTTCAGCATTTCAGTGTTGGTCTGGAGATATAAAAAATTGCCTTTTGCTTGTATCTTCTCAACTCTTTGTCCAAAACTCATAAAACTGGTGTCTTTACATCTGACAGAGCATGCCGAGTTGAATGATGTCTGATTTTCCCAGGTCAGCCATTTTGGGCGTAGACCATTTCGATTTTTGTCAAAAATGCTATATTTCACAAACATATTTATGTATCATTACAAAACATGGTTTGCATCTTCGACACCATGTCGTGAAGGTACTCGAAAACTTCTTGAGCAGCGCCACCTTTTGGCCAAAAGTTATTATGAAAAATGCTAATACCTTTTTCTAAACACTCCTTGTTGACATGACATGTCTTGCTATATTCCATGGATCATGCCGAGACCATTGATACCAAATATGCCAAAATAAACTCAATTTCCTGTCCGCCATTTTGTTTTTTGATTAAAAACCTATTTGTTTTGAACAGCGCCACTTAGTGGTCTCGAGTTATAAACCGTTTACTAACCATCAATAACGGTTCATAAATTTGCTAATAACTTTAGACTGCATATGCTAATTGTGGTAAAACATGATCTCAACTTATTCCTTGGGTCATGGCGAGAACATTAATACCAAATATGCCATATTTGGCTAAACTTCCTGTCTGCCATATTAACTTCCAGATTTAAAAAATATTTTTTTCTAAAAAAATAAACACTAAGAAACAATGAAGCTGTCGAAGGAATAATGCCAAGGCTTCGAAATATTTCGAAACTCAACTCTACACTGACACCTAGTGGTTCACACTTAAACAACGTCAACAAAGAAACATTCATTCAATCAATTTCCTTTAGCTTAGTTCTTTTTATTCTTCAGGGGTCGCCACAGCGCAATGAACCACCAACTTATCCAGTATATGTTTTATACAGCGGATGCCCTTTCAGTTGCAACAAAGTACTCAGAAACATCCATACCCACTCATTCACACACATACACTATGGTCAGTTAAATTTATTCAATTAACCTATACCACATGTGTTTGGGGAAACGCACACAATCACGGGGAGAACATACAAACTCCACATAGAAACGACAAAGGGCCCAGCCGGGACTCGAACCAGCGACCTTCTTGCTGTGAGGCGACAATGCTAACCACTTTGTGATTACAAAATACATGTTGTTTTAGCCATAAAAAAATCTACATTAATAAGAGACATTAGGTCACAATTTCTAAATGTTTGTACAATCCGGAATTGTATTTAAAAAAATTCTAAAACAGTATCCCGAAATATCACCAAATTTAACTGGGATCATCGTCCGACCATGATGACTAAGGTTTGTGAAGTTAATGTCAATAAGCTAAACGATTTTTGTTTACAGCATCGACAAATCTGCTGGTATAATGTCAAACTGCATCTGAGGCTGTCTCTCTGCAATGCTTAAATATATTGACACCCAACATAAGCTTCTTCATTGTCACCTTACACTGACGACAACATCAAATTTGTAACTCTGTCCCCGCTTTTGGCCTCTGGCCTGAGTTGCTCATTATAGTTGGGGATTGCTTGGCCCCTTAATGGCAGCTTGCAACTACTGTATATTTACATCTGTAAATAATTTCTGTATCTGCTTTCATAATTACACTGTTGAGCATCTCTTACACCTTAACGCCCTATTCACACGGGGCTTCAGCGTCAACGCTTGACTGAAGGCGTGTCTGAAGTTGGGGCTGAAGCGATCGTCATAAAAGCGTCAGCCAATGAAATCAAGTCAGCAATAGGCCTCTGTCTGAGCTGGTGTATTTGCATATAGCGATCTGATTGGCTGACACTTCTGTCGGCGCTTGAAAAGTTGAGCTAGTCCCAATTTCTGCAGCGAGGAACGCTTCTGAAGCGGCGCCAATGGATCCACAATGCAGTTCGGCAACGCCAGACGTCACCCATTCAAAGTGAATGGGAAGCGTTGACGCTGACGCCCCGTGTGAATAGGGCGTAACCCACGCTTAAACCTACCCATACCCCCAAACCTGTCCCTAACCCAACCCAAACCACAAGTGTTCTACAATACAATATCAACACATCAAGTAAATCAAATGTATTTTGTAATGCCAGTACATAGTAGTTATGGCCACCTAATGTAAAGCGGGACCAGAAACTCAAATAAGTTTGGAACAAGTGAAGGGTGAGTAAATGATATCAGAGTTGTCATTTTTAGATCAACTATCCCTTTAAATAAATTCTATGCAGTGTTCCTGTGAGTAATTCTAAGAGGCTTACCGGGTCTGTGTGCTTTAGGCACGGCCATATTCATGACCCGGCTGGCGTCCTGTGGTTTGGGTGGGGAGGCTGTGAATCTGCAGATGCCCGACTCTGACGGCGTGCTGGATGTCAGGCTGTCTGTGTAGTCATTCGTGCCGGCCGTCATCTGTTCAGAGGATGTATCCGATATGAAGCATTCTGTGATCGTGAACTTAGCATGTCGCAGCTGTTCCTCCATTTTGGCGTGTTCGTAGGCACGGGCTAGCTCCTCATAAGTGGAGGAGGCGCTTTCTGTAGACACCATACTGCTGCGAGCGCGGTCTGCAAGAGAGAATACACATATTGTACATCATCAAGGCCCTGGACATGCCCTAATAAAAGCTTTGAGATAATATTTACTTAATACAAGTGTATAATTTAGAGTGGCAATACCAGAATAAAGATGTTAGGGGCCCTTTACATTTGGTGTGTGTTCGCACAAATTTGTTATAATCTATGTGCAACCAAAACACCGCTGGTGAAACACACACACACACACCTCACACACACTCTTGGTGTGGATCTCAGTTGTTTACATGCACAACAATAAAATATGGTCTATATATAATATACTCATGCGCTGTGAAACTGGCGTAACAGCCTTTTATGCAGAGGTGTCGGCACGCAGCGAGTTTATAAAATTGAAGTCTATATAATATGATCTTATTTTGACCATAAAGCGATAACCTTCGTAGAAAATACAGTCTTTAGTAAAGCTTTTCACAGATCTAGTTTACATGAGTGTCCCATGTTAGAGACCTGTCTATGTGAATTCCCAAATACTTGTATGACTGTACCTGAGTGATTTCTTGATTGTGTACAAACACTGGTAAATGCTCGACAACACACTTGGAATCAAAAATTATTTCCTTTGTTTTTTTGTATTTACTTTTAAAAAGTTTTCATCACACCACTCAACAAATGAATCAATTTCAGAGAAATAAACAGAAACAGGATCTTGTTTGTTCAGCAAACTTAAAATTACAGTATCTTCTGAGTATTTAAAAATAAGATTCTGTGAGTGCCTGCTTGAAAAAAATAGGATTCTGTGAGTTCCTTAGGTTGCTGCCGGAAGTAGTGCTAGTGAGGCCAACTGGCTTCATCGTTCTGTCTCCTCCCCACCAATCAGCTGGTGTGTGGTCTGGCGTAAAATGGCTGCGGTTGCGTCATCCAGGTGGATGCTGCACACTAGTGGTGTGTAAAACTCTTTGAGTGTCTAGAAAAGCGCTATATAAATGTAAGGAACTTTTATTATTATTATCATTATTATAAAGTTGACTGTTGTACAGTGTAGTCATTTCCCTTATAGGTAATTTATTTACCCTGGGTAAATAAATAATAATCAGTCCTAAAACAATTGCAGAAAAAAAGCACACTTCAGCATTGCAGAATAAGGCAAATATTATGAACAAATTTCATTTAACAGTCCCTCCAGGATTTTGTGGAAAAAAATAAAAATAAAATTCTGACTTAAATGATTAATTATGTGACAACTTTTTGCAAAAAGTGTCCCGATTGTCCAAAATATGTGGGAAAGTTAGGCAACTCAATAAAATGTGACTTTTACTTGATTTTGCTTTAAATTTGTCAATCAAAGATTCATGGAGAGTCAAATTTTTTCACATAGACCGCAATGATCAACACAATTTTTCAAAAAGAAGTTCAACAATGCTTACTTTACCTAATGTATTTTTGTATTGTTAAAGTTTTGCATTTTTAAAGTTGTCTTGAATTTCACACCAACGCATCTGAGCTTCCACCAAATCCAACAACATTTGTTCTTAAACGTCAAAACGTTTTTAGCCTGTTCTCTTCAGAAGACTTGGATTAAACAGTTCACACTACTTTTAATATTTATTTATGAACATTTTAAAGCTTTAAAGATGCAGATTCCTAAAAAAAAGCATACAGTTTTTAGATTGGGGTGAAATCCTGGAGGTCTGCATATTATTTGTGGGAGTTGACCAATGGGAGTTGTTATTGGTTACCTGTGTCCTGAGAGGGACTGACACTGTAGCTGTCGCTCTCTTTGTCCACCGAGCCTGTGGCGCGCGGAGTGGGCAACCTCCAGTCCGTAGTGAGTGTGTGTGAGGAGACGGGAGGATGTGGCCGGTTCAGGGTCCACTGGCTGGCATAACGACTGCGTGTGGCAGGACCTGCTTTAGCTGTGCGGCGGGCAGTGGGGTCTGAGGGAACAGAAATGGACATATATTAATACATTACAAAGTGAGATATGTGGCTTACGTGAAGCAGAACTTTTGGTGTTATATATATATATATATATATATATATATATATATATATATATATATATATATATATATATATATATATATAACACCAAAAGTTCTGCTTCATGTAAGCCACATATCTAAAAATGAATTATTATTTTATTTCAGTTTATTTTTCAGTAAAAGTTGTTAGTTTCTCATTTACTGTGATTTTTTAAAATTAATTTCAGCTAACAAACATGTTTTTTGGCCTACAGTTTTAGTATTAGTTTTTGTTTACTTGATAAAATGTGATTGGAATGTTCTAATAATGTTTAAAATAACCTTCTGAGAAAGAAATTTGAATAATATTATTATAAGCAAGAAATAAGTTGGCGGTTCATTCCGCTGTGGCGACCCCTGATTAATAAAGGGACTAAGCCGAAAAGAAAATGAATGAATTAATGAACTTAATGGGAACATTAAGGGAATTGTTTTAGAAACTAAAATTGTTGGCTGGATCTCCAGTGTTTATATTAAAGGGATAGTTCACCCAAAAAGAAAAATGTACTCACTATTCAACCTGGTTTATTTTTTTTTCTGTTGATCACAAAATAAATTTGAGAAAATGCAGAAAACCTGTAACAATTGGCATCCATGGTATTAAAATCAAATACTATGGAAGTCAATAGTTACATGTTTTCAACCTTTTTCAGAATATATTTTTTTGTTCATCAAAAGAAAAATACTCACTGAAAATGACCTTTTAAAAGTACTCAAGAGTAGTGGGTATTGAGTATTACACCGCAAAATGCTGATGCATTTACATGTCTTTTGTGGATGTGTGTAAACGTAACATTCTGTAGTACATTTATTTATTGCCCTGCAGGCACACAACATCATAAGACGTTAATATTAGGTTTAATTTAAGTTGTGATGTCATGTGGCCAAAATTCAATGTCTAGCCAGCGTCTATGGATAACGTTTGATGTCCAATAACAAGGTAAAATGACGTTGATATTTGGTTTATTTTAGATTGCGTTAGAAAGTGACCAAATTCTAACGTCGGGCCAACATCTTAAACCAACATCATATTGACGACAATTACTAACATTTATTTGTTAGGTATGGCAACCAACATCCAACGCAATATATATATATATATATATAGTCACCAAAACATCATCCAGCCAATCAGAATCAAGAATTTCAACACACCATGGAATAATGGCGTTTCATAGGGTGCACTTTAATGCAAATACTTAATTGATTACTCAGTCCACCATGAATTGAGGATCTTGGGCAGAGTATTTTACTATTTGCAGTTTACTAATGCTAATTGTTTCGCTATCATTCGACATGCAACATTAACACAAGCATGCAGACTAGTAGAGTTCTTACTTGTACCAGGTCTAGCATCAGACACGTCTACTAGTGGTCCAGTGGCCTGAGATAGAGACTGGTAATGCACTGTATGGGTGACGGTTGAGGACTTCTGTTTAGATGTTTCTCCAAAGTCATTGTCCGTCAACAGCACTGTGGAGCGGTCATCTGAAAGACAGGGGTAAACTGGTAAATAAAAGCAAAAGAGACCACCATCATGCTTTAAACGCATCCTGCTTAAAAAAACATTTTTTTATTTTTATTTAATCGCATTGTTTAGGTAATACTAGTCGACATGTTCTCAATAAAGCTATCTATAATGTCTGTCAGAACAAACCAGGCCATAATCATATTATCAACACCTTGTCTAACAAGATATATAGTATAACTGGTATGGTTTTGGGCGTCACGGCGGCGCAGTAGGTAGCAGGATGGCCTCAGAGCCAGAAAACGACTGGTTCGAGCCTCGGCTGGGTCAGTTGGCACTTCTGTGTGGAGTTTGCATGTTCTCCGTGTTCGCATGGGTTTCCTCCGAGTGCTCCGGTTTCCCCCACAAGTCCAAAGACATGAACTTTAGGTCAACTGAATAAGCTAAATTGGCCATAGTGTAAGTGTGTGAAAGAGAGTGGGTGTTTCCCAGTGATAGGTTGCAGCTGGAAGGGCATCCACTGCATAAAACATATGCTGGATAAGTTGGTCGCTCATTCCGTTGTGGCAACCCCTGATTAATAAAAGGACTAAACTGAAAATAAAATGAATGAATTATTATTTTACTTCAGTTAATTTTTAAGTAAAAGTTTTTAGTTTCTCATTTACTGTGATTTTTTAAAATTAATTTCAGCTAACAAACATGTTTTTTGGCATACAGTTTTAGTCTTAGTTTTTGTTTACTTGATAAAATGTGATTGGAATGTTCTAATAATGTTTAAAATAACCTTCTGAGAAACAAATTTGAATAATATTATTATAAGCAAGAAAAAAAAAGTATGACATCTAAAAACCTGGACGTTTTGAATGTTCGTTAAAGAAATAACTTAATGGTAAAGGGGTGCAGTGGGTAGTGCTGTCGCCTCACAGCCAGAAGGTCGCTGGTTCAAACCTCGGCTGGTCAGTTGGCATTTCTGTGTTTTGTTTGCATGTTCTCCCCGTGTTTGCGTGGGTTTCCTCCGAGTGCTCCGGCACAGTCAAAGTACAAGGTAAAATTGTCCATAGTGTATGTGTTTGAATGAGAGTGTGTGTTTCCCAGTGATGGGTTGCAGCTGGAAGGGCATCCGCTGTGTTAAACATATGCTGGATAAGTTGGCGGTTCATTCGCGGTGGCGACCCCAGATTAATAAAGGGACTAAGCCGAAAAGAAAATGAATGAATTAATGAACTTAATGGGAACATTAAGGGAATTGTTTTAGAAGCTAAAATTGTTGGCTGGATCTCCAGTGTTTGTATTAAAGGGATAGTTCACCCAAAAAGAAAAATGTACTCACTATTCAACCTAGTTTCTTTTTTTTCTGTTGATCACAAAATAAATTTAAGAAAATGCAGAAAACCTGTAGCAATTGGCATCCATGGTATTAAAATCAAATACTATGGAAGTCAATAGTTACATGTTTTCAACCTTTTTCAGAATATCTTTTTTTGTTCATCAAACGAAAAATACTTACTAAAAATGACCTTTTAAAAGTACTTAAAAGTAGTGGGTATTGAGTATTACACCGCAAAATGCTGATGCATTTACATGTCTTTTGTGGATGTGTGTAAACGTAACGTTCTGTAGTGCATTTAGTTATTGCCTTGCTGGCACACAACATCATACGACATTAATATTAGGTTTGATTTAAGTTGTGATGTCAGGTGGCCAAAATTCAATGTCTAGCCAGCGTCTATGGATATTGTTTGATGTCCAATAACAAGGTAAAATGACGTTGATATTTGGTTTATTTTAGATTGCGTTAGAAAGTGACTAAATTCCAACGTCGGGCCAACATCTTAATCCAACATCATATTGACGACAATTACTAACATTTATTTGTTAGGTATGGCAACCAACATCCAACGCCTGATAGACGTCAAAGTGGTGACATCCACACAACGTCAAGCTGTAACATCATTAGACGTTGATATTTGGTTGATTTTAGGTTGGACATTGACATCAGCCTGGTTCTGACGTCAACCTCATTTTCATTTTCAAACAAAACACAACGTCCACACGACATCGGGGTACAACGTCAACATGACGTTCTATTGACATCTTGTGCATGCTGGATTTGTAATTTGTTCCTTTACACCACTGTACAAGTTTTGATACAGTAAACTGTGAGTAAATTATGACATAATTGTATTTTTTGGGTGAAATATACCTTTTAAGTACACTTTTTTTTCATAATTACAAATTAATTTACAAATGTAACCTAATTTTAAAAAGCTAATTTACAAATTAACTAATGTAAACTGATGATTTTGTTAAATGATTCATTTGATCAGATGTCAAACACAGTCAAAACTCCCTATACATATAATTATTAATTTGAATGTTTCTCTTCACACCATTTACATTAGCAGAAATTATACAAGATAAGTTATGTAACAAAGTGGTTAGTTATGTTTTGCTAGGAAAGTGAAATCATTGACAAAGTGAACTCTCACCGATTGTCTCCATAGTGTCCCTCTCCTCGATGAGTAGCTGAGCACGTGGGATATCGATGTGCATCCGCAGAGTCTGCTGCTGCTTGTTCACGGTGTCAGGTGTACGTGCATTTTTACTGAAGGAAAAGCATAAAACAGTTACATGCACCACTTTAAGGTAAAGTGCATTGATTTATATGGTAATGTCATTGTTATTTACCTCATTAGCATCTCCGCTAGGCTCTTAGCATCTGTACAATGAAGACAAAGTAGAAAAATATCATTACAAAACACCTCAAAAAGACGATTTTTGAGTATGCTCAAGGACCCACGAGATGATATTTGTCCACACACCTCGTAATCTCTTGAGTCTCTGCTCTCTTCTCCTCCTCCTCAATACTAGAAGAACGATGAAGACCATGCAGATTGCCACCAGAATGCAGATGATCGTGACCATCATCTTAAGTCCTTCATTTCCCTGCCTGTTCTCCTGGCTGGGGTCCACGCTCTTTGGCAATGGAGCAATTGTGCCTAAAGAAAAAAAGGAACCAAGATATGACAAGAAATCCAACTATTTTCTTAAAGTTATAGATCACAATGAATAAATATTCATTCATTCATCAATTTTCTTTTAGGCTTAGTCCCTTTAATATTCCGGGGTCGCCACAATGGAATAAACTGCCAACATATCCAGCACATGTTTAACGCAGCGGATGCCCTTCCAGCTGTAACCCATCACTGGGAAACATCCATACACACTTATACACAACGGACGATTTAGCCTACCTAATTTACGCATACCGCATGTCTTTAAACTCCACACAGAAACGCCAACTGACCCAGCTGAGGCTCGAACCAGCGACCTTCTTGCTGTGAGGTGACAGAACTACCTACTGCGCTACCGCGTCGCCCAAATGAAAGTTATATTATTATATTCATATTGTCCCAATATGTTGATATGAAAATGTTTTAATCGTTTGTTCGAACCAGTTCATTAAATTGAACAGAGTTTACTTGAAACGGTTTACGTCCTTAGTACTAACATACTGGATATTCCCTCTGACTCGAAATAAATCCATATCCTTAGATATTCAGTTACTAGAACAGTACACTGACTCATCTGCTGTTAAAAAGGATACCTGTTGATGATGATGTGTGCGAGTCGACTGTCTCTTCCCTCGCAGCACACTCTCTCATTGAGTGTGTGTAATTCAACCTGACTAAGGTCAATTTTATTCCGCACTATGCCAATTAATAAGGTAATTCAAAGTAACTCAAATAATATTACTTATTTTTCAAAGCAATGCGTTACTTTACTCGTTACTTTGGATTAATACGTAACGCGAGTTAAAGCTGATTTATATTTCTATGTCAAGTGCACGCATATGCTACTCCGCAGCCTACGCGTGGACGCAAACCATTTGCCATGGCCGTCGGCGATGCTGATGCGCACCTCTCAAAAAATGTAACTACCCGTCTCAACGACGCTTAGCGTGAGCTCTGTGAATGGTCGTCTTGGTAGCGCTGAATAGTGTGGGCGGAGGTGAGAGCCGTGCGAGCCCGATGCAGCGAGTGTTTACAAGTGTGGTGTCTCATGAAGGAGCTCCGGATGGAGACTGTTGTTTTGTGTTTACCTTATGATTAAAGTCGTTGGGCGTCCGCCAATTCCAGCCACAAAATGAGCAAGTTTGAGCCACTTGTACATTAAGGAAGCGTTCAGAAAAAAACAAAACACCTACAAAGGAACATAAACACCTACTGCCAGCTAGCGTTTCGTGTTATTACAGAGGGACTCAAACATCGCACAGAAGTATAAATGCACGGCTATGCACATTGCATACGCTGTGGGTCACGTCGATCACTCAACGCAGAAGTATAAACCAGGCTTTACTTATATCGCGTTACCCCCAACACTACCAGTGACTAGTCGATGTCTACTTTAATAAGCTAAAATTCGACTTTTAAAAATCTAAAATCGTTCAACTGTTTGTAATAAAATAAAATCTAGCACTCACTGCCATCCATATTCAGAGTAGCGAACAGCACCCTCTTCTCCGCTGTTCCTGCACTGTTGCCGACTCTCATCTGGAGCTCATACCAGGTGGCCTCCTGTAGGTCGTACAGAATGTGGCTCTTGGTGAGGGAATCCCGCTTTACCATAGTCCACTTGGTAGTGTCTACCGGCCGATATTCTAGTGTGAAGGAGTCAATTGGACAGCCACCGTTGTTCCAACCAATGAGGTTGAGCTCCACGCGGGTAGAGTTGATACTTGAGAAAAGCTCGTGGTCTTTGGCGAACTGTGGTTCTGAACATGTGGAGAAGAAAGAGATTCATTCTGAAGTTAGAATAAGACGTTAAGCATACAATTGCGTGGATGGGATTATCGCTATTGTTGCGCTGCTTCTACTGTCATGACTTTCTAAAAAAACTTTCAATTCTGGGTTGTCCCATCCAAACTCGACTACCAACTAGAAGAATGTCTCGACCTCTACTTCTGACTTTGATGCTGCCATTCAGGTGTTTTTTTTGTTTTTTTTTGAGGTGGTATAAAAACAGTTTTTGAAGCACGGACCAACAATACAGCAGTGGCTGCTAGTGTTGATACCCTACTGGAATTTCTAACTTTGGTATAAAACCTTGAAAAATACCGATATTCAATATGTGATAGGGAGTGCAAGAGAGCAATGCGGTATCAATACTAATGGAATACAAAATTTTATTGTTTTAAATACTTTTTTTAATTAATATGTATTGAAATATTGATATTTTTGACAATACTAGTGGCTGCTGTTTACTATTTAACCCATCCTAGAGAACATTTTCGGGCAAAGTCAATTATTAGGAATTTTTTAAAATACAAACAAAGTTAAGTCCGCTTAATTCAATAATTTCACCCACAAGAAATGCATGGTAAATACTAAAATAAACAAGCTTTATATATATATTTTTTCATTTCCATTTAATTTTCGTCCGCTTTTCCGTGGTCGGCTCACATTGGCAGCAATCTTAGGAGAGATCCCAGACTTCCCTCTTCCCCCACTTCCTCCAGCTTCTCCGGGGGGATCCCGAGGCGTTCCCAGGCCAGTCAAGAGATATAGTTCCTTCACCGTGTCCTAGGTCTTCCCATAGGCCTCCTCCAGGTGGGACATGCCTGGAACACCACCCTAGGTAGGCGTCCAGGAGGCATCCAAAACAGATGCCAGAGCCACCTCAGCTGACTTCTCTTGATGTGAAGGAGCAGTGGCTCTACTCCAAGCTCCTCCATGATGACAGAGCTCCTCACCTTATCAATAAGTGTGCACCCTGCCACCCTGCGAAGGAAACTCATTTCGGCCGCTTGTATTCGGGATCTTGTCCTTTCGATTATGACCCAAAGCTCATGACCATAGGTAAGAGTAGGAACTTAGATTGACCGGTAAATCAAGAGCTTTGTAAAACAAGAGTTTTTTTCCACAACAGACTGATATATCGACTGCATTACTGCAACAATCTGCCTGTCAATCTCAGGTTCTATTCTTCCCTCACTCGAGAACAAAACCCCAAGATACTTGAACTCATCCATCTGGGGTAAGGACTTTCCTCCAACCTGGAAATGAACTTTGTGCTCAAATGTGTCCACACGTGTTCAGTTTAGGACTGCAATACTAAGTATACTTAAGTGATAGATTGGCAAAAATCTGATGCTGGTAATGACAATTTTCTCTGACCAATCAGTGATCAGCAGCATGAATACGTCACATTTTTGTAAAAGTTTGGCTTGCTTGGAACCTCACCTGAGGTGGTGCAAAAAAAGTAGAGAAGCCCCCAAATGTTAACCATACAGAAGCAAACCATGTCATACCGTACCTTGCTAAAGGTAAATTCATTAATGTTCATATACTTGTCTGCAAAAATAGTTTTATTTAACTTAAGAGTTTTTTTTCTAGTCCAAATATTAAATAATTCCTAAATCTAGAAGCATTTTCTAAAAAAGCAAAAAACACTCTTATTTTTAGAAATAATACTTCAAAATTAAGTGAGTTTATCCTTAAAACATGCAAAATAAATGGGGTATGCAATATAATCTTATTTCTCAGCGAAAGCACAATTATTTTGCAAAATTATTCTGCTTATTCTTTTCTAGAAAATACTTCTTGATTTAACATAACCAAAACAGAAAAAACAAAACAGAAACTCCAATAATAAAGTCATTTTTAGCAGTGTAGCCACAAGAGCTTGACATTATTAACAGATGTGTACCTTTTCCATGGGTTTTGGCCTCAATGATTTCACTGATGCGTCCGGGACCTACTGCATTCTGTGCAGTCAGAGTAAACTTGTACCAAGTACCGCACTTCAGATTCTCCAGACGGTAAGAGCGCTCACTGGGGCTGATGGAGTAACTGCCCCATTCTTCACTGTTATCCTCTGAGTACTGTAAAATGTAGCCTGAACAGAGAGAACCACAAAAAAACACTTTACTGTATGCTCAGTGATGTGTCCATTTTAATAAATAAACCTCAAATGCCAAACTTTGTTTATGAATTTTTACAGGCACTGCAAATTGATACAGAGCACTTGCTGTACGATGCAAAGTTGACCTTTAAGTTTATTAAAATATAACGGCGTGTGGAATAAATCTCAGTTTGAAACATTTGACAGGTTTGTGCTGATAGTGTTTCATTTTTGTCACCCAGTGGAGAATAGGTGAAAATGTGGAGCGCAAAATATCAAGGCAGTCTAACCTCTGATGGAGCTTCCGCCATTGTCTCCGGGGATCCAGAAGAGCGTGATGGAGGTGGTCGTGGTTTTGGTCACGGTAAGACGTGGTTGGTCCGGTGGTACTAGAATATTTTATGGATAAAACAACAAAATTATTCTTTCAAAATTTGCAGGTAATAATCAGTCACTACAGTCATCAGGAATTGGGAATTTCGCATGAAAGTAAGATTTTTTACATGCAGGACTACAAGATTTTACAAGATTACATTACAAGATTTTACATGGGGTTGATCTTGATTGGTTGAAGTGACTTCTCTAGCAAGTGTGCGAAAAATGCCTTTCTTACTTGTTTATAGTCCAAACATCTAAAAAATCTTAAGTTAAAAAGCATTTTTTTTTAGACAAGACAAACATATTGGGCTCTATTTTAAAGATCTAGCCGCAAAACCATTAAGGACGTGTGCGAATCCACTTTTGCTATTTTAAGGACGGAAAAATATGCTCTGCGCCGCGGCACATGGTCTAACAGAGTCGTACTTATTCTCTTAATGAGTTATGTGTGTGTTTTGAGCATAACGTGCATTAAACCAATTAAGAGTCTCATCTCTCATTCACTTCAAGATTGAGTTGCGTCACGGCATGGCACATTTGCTATTTACATGGTGGAATTTGTAAGTGGAAAAACTGAACGCTTCACTAGCGAGAAAACAGACCCTCTGCAGGGCAAGAATAAAGAACGAGCCTCCTTCATTCGGCTTCTTTATTTTCTCTTTACTACTTTTACTCTTTACTCCTTTACTTTCGTGGATAAGGAAACGGTGTTGTACGCACTTCACTGAAGACAGCCATTAGCCTGCATATTTAATTTAGATTGTTAAATGTGAAGATTTGTTTCAAAACTATTTCTAAATTCAGTTCTAATTTCCAGCAAATTAATTAATAAGCAATAATAACAAATAACAAAGTTATATCCAAACAAACGTCCTATGCCTCATATGGTTTAAAATCTGACAGGTGGACACATCTAAGTTTGTTTTTAATAAAACAAATATAAATTTGCATATAATAAATAATATTGCTAATAATAATAATAATAATAATAATAATAATAACATTATACAAAAGCAAGTTGTCATGAACAAACTGAAAAAAAAACTAGATAAATAAGGCATGGAGGCAGTGGTTTTCATATTTACGTAGAAATTAATAATTTTTGTAATATGTTAATCCTTTAATTCCTTTTCATTTGTAAAGATGATTGCGTATTGCTGTATATTTTGTGTGTATTAAGCAACGTGTACGAGATTAAGGTGCAAAACTAACGCGCTCTGCGCTGGACTTTTCAGCTGGTCAATTGCGTAGTCTATTTTAGCTCATTAAAATAACAACACACCAACAATGCGCCTTAACACACCTCCTTTTTAGAGTGGAACAGCCATGAGTTCACAAAGTGGTGCAAATGGATTTGCTGTTAAAACAACGTGGTGCGAAGTAGGAAAATTAGGGTTGCGCTGGTCTGAAAATAGCACACCAAACACGTCTTGTGCCCTATTGCGCTGGGTGTATGATAGAGCCCAGAGTTTGTTTTCCGAAATAATAAGTCAAAATGAAGTGAGTTTTTCCTTGAAACAAGCTAAGTAATCTTGTTTTCTACCATTGGCAGATTATTTTGCTTGTTTCAAGGGAAAAAAATGGACATAACATTTCTGAAAACAAGACAATATGTTTTGCTTATCTAGAAAATTCTTCTTGATTGAAGAATTTTTAAATATTTGGACTAGAAACAAGGCAAAAACTTTAAGTAAGAAAAATATTTTTACAATGTATTTCTTTTTTTACAATTACATTTTAGAATATACAACCATATTGATTGTAAAGTGCAACCGTATAATAGAAATAAAAGCAGCAGCTAAAATAAAATGAAAAATAAAAATAATTAAAAATATTATCAAATGGCACCAAGAAATTTCCTCTCGCCTTACCAATTTTAAATTCTAAATTAAAAAAGGCTGTCTCTGAAGATTACAAACACACCTTGGACCTGAAGATTTAGCATGATCTCATCGGAACCCCAGTTGTTGCTGGCAACACATCTGTAATACCCAGAATCCTCTGCTTTGACGGTACGAATAACAAAGCTGCCATTGTTGTGAGCGCTGCGACGACCATCGATTGAAACTGGAGCAGGTGTACCATTACTGTAAGAAAGCATGATCAGTTTTTCAAGATATCAGCTTCATAAGCAAAATAATGAAATGAATAAAAAAACACAATCAAACTAATTATTTCAGGTGCTATAAGTTTCATTTGCAAGTCTGGCCAGACATACCTGAACAGATTTAAAAAGATAGTTCACCCTCCAAAAACATTTTTACTCACTATTTATTCAGCTCATGTGTTTCCAAAAAACAAAAATCTTCTGTTAAACACAAAGGAAGATAATATTAAGAATGCTGGAAACCAGTAACCTTCAACATCACTAGTAGGAAGCTAGCAAAACATATGGAAGTCGACTAGTTTTTATCTTCTTTTGTGTTCAACAGAGTTTGTGACAAGTAAACTGTCAGTGAAACAAGGACAAAATCTCCATCCTCTTTTCATATTTTGAATATAAAGAATGTAGAAACTAAACATACTTTCCCTTCAGCCATTTGATTGTTGGAGGGGGGTCTCCGACTGCTTTGCATGGAAGGACAATGTCCCTCATCCAGGGAGTGGTCACAGTGCCACTGAATGTCAGGATTCGAGCAGGGGCTTGAGAAACAAACAATAGCATTACCATATTATCACAGAGTAACACTTTTCTGAGTGCTTTTTGCTGTGCAAACATAAAATATTGTTTCTTACCTATAGTATAATGCTTTAAATAGCCTAGATCATGTTTATTAACCAACTTCTATCTCGCTATAATTCAACCTGATCATTAAGGTCTCAAAACTTAAAGCTTCTGGTAGTACCTAGAATAGCAAAGTCCACTAAAGGAGGTTGAGTGTTTTAATATATGGCTCCTAAACTCCGGAATAGCTTTCCTGCTAATGTCAGAGGCTTAATCACACTTTATAAGTTCAAAACTAGATTTGAGATCTTTTTTTTTAGATCTTTTTAGTAAACCATAAACACAATGCTGTACACATAACTGTAGGATGCATGAGTGGGCTCGACAAATCACCTGTAGGATAGACTCTTACTGACTTAATGCACCTGGCACTTTGTTAGAAATATTTATATGTTTGTTAATATGTTTGTTTATATAGTGTAGCACCTTTTTTTCATTTATAGCACTTCATTTTCACGTTGACATTAAGTTATTAGTAACTAATAAAGTTAACTAACAAAGTAACTTGAATATTAGTAATAACTAGGGATGCCACGGTTCTCAATATAATATTGAACTGTTCGGTATGACCTCCACGGTTCAATACCTGCTTGTGAGTTGCGGTTTTCTCTGTTTTTCGTTTAAATAATTTATGTGCGTTTTCTATCTCCTCGAATTGAGTGTGTGTGCCTCTAAGTCCATGAGATGAGATGAGGAAACTCCTCTCCGCAAGTAAATATCCAATCACTGTGCTCTAAAGTTAGGGGGCACTTAACCACCATTCCACACTTTAACATGGTGAAGTGAGGTTGAGGCAACAGTACAAGGAAGCGCCGGAGTCTTTCAAATCTGCGGTGTGTTGACATTTCAGTTTTGCCGGTAAGCATAATGCCAATAAAAGAAAAAAACGGAGAATAAAAAATAACTGTGGGCAAGCATTGTTTTACACATATAACCATGACTGCACATCTGCAGCGCCATCACCCAGTAATATCACTGTCTGAAGGCAGGACAGCAGAGAAGGTAATAAAGTCCTCCAAATAGCAACAATCCCTCGCTGAATCTTTTCAGAAAACATACCCAACTGGTTCCGAGAGACATATAAAAATAACAAAGGCAGAGCGGGTGTTTATTGCTTAAGATTTGCAGCCGTTTTCGGTGATTGGAGATGTGGGCTTTTGTCATTTTATAAAAGCACTCGATTCGCGTTACAGACTACAGTCTCGCATTTTTTCAGCACCAAGATTATTAAGATGTTTTATTTATGTTTACTTAAGTACAAATATGTTTATTTGAAATGGCCAATTCATCTTAATTATCTTCACATGTGTGTTTATTTTCAAAATGTAGGAATGTATGTGCAATTTGTACATGGGTTCCCAGCAGCTGTGAGATTTCACAGTTTTTTTTATACAATACACTAGGAACTACTGTACTTTTCTTGGCTTTTAAGTAAAACAAAATGAGTATTGCAATAAATCGTTTTTATTTTTTTTCTCCTTAACCTCTCACTGATCCTATGCCTAAAGAATAAAAAAAAAAATAAAAAAAAAAAATTGTAACAAGCCATGAGAAACGAACCGAACCGAACTGCAAACCATGTTAAAAAACCAAGGTATGTATTGAACCGTTGGCTAACTGTATTGCTGCATCCCTAGTAATAACCTTAACTTTTGATTTTGACTGTAATAACTGTATCAGACTGTAACTTTGTGCAACTTTTGTAGAGCCGCTTTGAAACAATAATTATACACATATCTGCTTGTTTTAAGAGAAAATCTACTAAATTTGGCATACTACATATAAAAAACAAGACAATGGTGTTTGCTTGTATAGAAAATAGATTTTTTAGATATTTAGACTAGAAACAAGACAAAAACTTTAAGTAAGAAAACATTTTTTTTTTTTTGATCTGTTTCTTTTTCTTTGCTCGGAAAAGGCAAAATAAATGGGATTGTAGAGTCTTTTGGAGACATTAAATGACATCACACTGAACAGGTAAACTAAACAAAATGTTTGCAAACTATTTTAAACTTAAAATGAAAAGTTACACATATTAAAAAGGTTATCATATGTGGAAGTTCATAAAACTTTAAAATTCATAATTAACAAATCGTGTTTTTATGGGTCACATTTGGTTTTAAAGGCTCATTTTCTGCAATATTCTAATAATAAACAGAAAACCTTTTTTTTTTTTTTATTAAGGAAAATACTTTTAGTGTTAGGTATTCCGTGTTATGGAGTGATTGCCATATCTTCCATACCTTTAGCTTGGGGCTCTACGGTGATAATTTCACTGGTATTCCCACGACCTGCCGCAGTCACCGCCACAACCCAGATGCTGTACTGCCAATTCTGGTTCAAGTTGGTCAAGCGACGGAAATAAACATCAGGTGCGGCTTCAAACTCACTAATCACCTGTAATGACATGAGATAAAAAAAATGTAAGTGCCACAAAAACAAATTCCACCCTATAAACTACTCCTCGAGAGTCAATTTCCTGTAGAGTCTAGCTACAACCAAGTGTGCCGCAAGCCTACGTTTGAGTGAAGGTCTCGGCCGTTAGATCGCCCCCTGGGGGCTGGCTGCAGTACAAGTCATAAAGCCCGCCTCCTCCGTGTTAATGAAGGAGACTTGAGCCCAAATAAAAAAAAATATTACACTTGCAATAAAATGTCCCGAAAGATAGTTCTGGTCAATTAAGGCACTGGTTATTGTGCTGAAATAGGTGCAGATCTTCATTTTTGTTAACAGTTTGTTTTTAGCAGTAATTTAATGCTGGGCGTGTCATCGTGATTGACAGCTGTGATTGACAGTTTCTCAAAGCGCGGCGTCTGAGCTTCGGCAGGAGACTGAAGTAGACTGAAGTGTTATTATTCGATTTCTGTGTTATTTTACCATGACAAAATGAGTTCAGCAGTAAACTATAGTTTCTGACATACATGATCCTGGTGGAACACTGTTTATTCGCTAAGTTCAGGGCTTTTTTCGGGCTTTATTAGTTTGCTGATACACGCCTAGCCACCCAGATAGCAAAACACAGTTCCGGCTAGATTCTCGCCTGCCGGAGACTTATCTCTTAGAGCTCAGACTGACTAATGTTACCTCTGCTGGACCTACTCCGGATGCCTGGACTCACTACCCAATTCCAGCCCAAGTCAATCGAGCCAGATGCGGCGGCCGAGCGAGCCGGCGCTGCCGCATGCGAGCCGGAATCAGCCCGCGACGCTGCGAGTAGGTTATGCGCTGCGGCCCGGAGCTGGCGCGATTGAATATATAAAACCCTCATATTTGTTAACGTTATTACATCCATTTGTGTTGATATGACAGCAAACGCATGCTGAGAAGTTCGGGGGGCGTGGTTGATTTTACATAAAGCGTTTGATTGGAAGCTCGACTCTGCTCATTTTCGCGGCTCCTCCTCTGGCTCCATCAGACAATCCTTCTGCGCATGTCTGGCTCCAATTTCAGCAGTCTTTTGCGACAGTTTGTGCCCGTCAAGCAGGCGTTTTGCCCTCAAGGCGTTCAATGGGAAAAAGGGCTGTCGCGTCGTCCATATTTTTTACAGTCATTGGCTACAACACATCTGACGGGTTTGACTTCTGACTTTCAATACCTTTGCAATAAATTAATTTCTTCACTTGGGACTCCAGGAATTTCTTAATTAACTTGTTTTTGACCATCACAAATCGTTATTTACAGATCTGGCATGAACTAATGCGCGCATGAAACGAAGTGTTCGCAATCTTTTTTTTAATTTATTTATTAGTTTCTTTATTTATTGAAATATGGTTTCGGGACACAGCAATTTGGCGAACCATGTAACAACGGAACTGCGACCATGGTTAGTCAACGAGCTTGGGAATTGTACCCCAGATTGTTGTTCCCTGCGCCAGCTGGTGGCCATTGTATGCAGCGCAGCAATGTTTAAAAAAATCTGAAAAAAGCCACTGCAGGAGCTTGCAAGGCCACGCATGACGAATTGCATGGCAGTGAAGGAAAAAACGCGCATTAGTTCAAGCCAGATCTGTATTTCTTACATTTTGAATAAAAATATTTTTTGTTGGTATATTAGGGAGTATGTATATAAGGGAATTTTTAATGTTAAGATAAACTGATTTGAAAAGATAAAACTGGCATTAAAATTCCCAGCAAAGCATGACATTAAATAAGAAACCCATGAAATGATCCATATATGTGGATCATCATAGCTTGTGCATCAAAGGGTTAAGAAAGCCAGGATAACATAAAAATCCAGGCTTATTCTGTTGCACGTTTGCTGATCCAGGTTACAACGTGTTGACAAATTACAAATTCACTTTTCCTCAAATGATACCAGTGTACATTCATGTTACTCAGGAAATTCATTATGAAGATTAATTGAAAACCCTTAGACTACCGAATATTGAGCATCCATTTGATCTGTTTCATTTATTTGATCCTTTTAATCATAATCAAATCACTTTCATTCAGGTTTTCCCTTTCTAATTGATCTTAATTCATATATAACATCATCATCATTGTATATACAGTTAAAGTCAAAATTATTAGCCCTCAAGTAAATTTTCTTTCTTTCTTTTTTTTTTTTTTTTTCTTCAAATATTTAACAGAGCAAAACATTTTTTTAAAGTATTTCCCATAATATTTTTTCTTCTGGAAAAAGTCTTTGTTTTATTTCGGCCAGAATAAAAGAAAAAAAAAATGTAAGGTCTATATTACTAGCCCTCTTAAGTTTATAAATTTTTTTCTCGATTGTCTACAGAATAAACCACTGTTATACAATAGCTGCGGCTCACTATACATGTACTTATGCACTTACACAATTAACAGCATAGTATATGTATGTAGGGTCAATCCTAAATGGAACACTAATAGTTTTTTTACCAAGCGGAAATCCAAACGGTTTCCCTGATCATGTTTTGATGGTTGATAAGTTAGTGAAATGAATGACCAAACTACCAAATAATACCTGACATAAGTATAACCGCACTCACCACCGGGAGGCGCTATAATCACTCACATGGGAGAATTTAGCTTTCACAATCCAAAATAAAAAATCCAACATCAGTGCCTGACAAGGTTATAAGAGTTTAGGATTTTGTGTAAAAATCAGGACTAAAATGGTGCAGTGTGAGCTCGGCGTGAATCTCACCGTGGGGTAAGGGTTGGAACAGAAGACGATGTATTTCCTGATGATCCCGTTGAGCTTGTGTGGTGGCAGCCAGGAAACAAACACCACCGAGCTTGTGGAAGCAGCAGCCTTAACTCCAGCCGGAGGGCCAGGAACTGTTTTAAGCGAGAAAATGAAAAACATCTTTAGTTGAGGCGAAGACAGTGTAAACTATATACCAAGTGATCTATAACTTATCCAATACTTGCATGTGAAGCTGTAAGTTTATTGTTTCCAAGCTATTTTGTTTTTCTTTTGACATTAGATTGAAATGTCTGCAATAAGCAAAGTGGTCAACCTACATATAGCTTACTTAAAGGCATTTCACCCAAAATTTTAATTTCTGTCATCATTTACTGTACTTACCATTCACTTGTTCGAAACCTGAGTTTCTTTGTTCTGTAGAACACAAAAGAAGCTTGAAAAAGGATGCTGGTTGCTTTGACTCCATAGTATTTTCCATTTACTTCCATAGTATTTGTTTTTCCTACTATGGATATCAGTGGGTACCAGCATTCTTCTTTTGTGTTCAAGAATAAAGGAACTCATAAAGGTTTTAACCACATGAGAGAGAGTAAATGATGAGGTAATTTTCATTTTTGAAATGAGATGACAATTTGTCTAACATTTACTCAAGCTCAAGAAGTTCTAAACGTTTATGTAGAAATTCTGAAGAATACCTTTAACCACTGGCGTTCAAAACAGCAGATACTATGAAAGTCAATGGTTACAGGTTACTAGCTTTCTCCAAAATATCTTCTTTTTGTGTTCAACTCAAAGAAACTCAAATAGGTTTGAAAAAAGTAAAAAGAAATGACAACATAACTGACATTGTTTGGTGAACTATGCCTTTAAGTGTGGAAACGTGTCAGTGTTTTACAAAAAAAACAAAACAAAAAAACATTTAGGGCAGCACAATACTTGTAAAATATAGAATATTTTTGTTGAGATTTGATAACAATAGTTCTTATGATATAATTAACTAAAATACACAGGTAATAGATATTTTTTTTTAGAGATAATTAAATTCAAAGATGTGATGTCAAAGTTCTAACCTTTAGGGCTCTATTTTTACAATCTAGGTGTAAAGTCTAAATCGCATAGTGCAAAAGCATTGGACTCTATTTTAATGCAAAGTCTAAAGTGCATAGTGCAAAAGCATTAAGGGCATGTCTGAATTCACTTTATATATATATATATATATATATATATATATATATATATATATATGTGCCGATGATTATAAATATATTTTAAAATATTATATTTTTAAACAGCAAACTTTATAAAAGATTGAACTGCTCTAATGAACTGAATAGTCTATACTCAAGCAAAAAAACAATCATTTTAAAATTGCAAGGTGATTATATAATGTAGACCTATATTCATGATTTCACATAAATCAGCATGCAAAAAATAAATTATTTTCTTTTCTTCATAGCAAATTAACATGCAACTTGACTGTTGCATAAAAATAATAGGTTTAATAACAAAATGGGATTTAATCAACAAGTAAGATAAATATATTTAAATAAGATGGAAATTTATTTACTTATTAATATATTTTTAAGGATTATTATAATTTCTTTATTATAATTTTGCCCTTTAAAATTTGATTTATTTATTTGGTATTCAAATGATCAATTAACCTATTAGTTGGAAAAAAAAATAGTATATTTGGACTATAACCCATGGCACAATCTTTGTAAAACTTGCCTCTAATTATAATTCAGGAAGCACTTTAAAGATAACTTTAAATAAACATATCAAAAAAATATATAAAAAATTTCATTAACATTCATGACATGTTATGTCACGATTATAACAGTTTAATCAGTCTTATGAACACACCTTCAGGTAAATTGTTACCAAAAGGTGCATATAATCTACAATATATACAATATATTAAAAAAAAACAAGTGTGTGCAACAGGAGAAAGTCTTACCATCCTCTTTGGTACGTGTGTAGATCTGCTCACTACGAACTCCATCTCCAGCTCGAGTGAAGGCCAGCACCTGGATACTGTAGTTGGTGTATTTTTCCAGCCGCTCCAACTCCAGCGAAGGCTTGGTGGTAGTGATGTTCCTGATCTCTCCCAGCTCTGCAACACACAAAAACAACTGTCAACTTAAGCTTAATAATAATTCTAATTAATTAATAATAATAATAATAAAAAAATACTTTAATTTAAATAAAATAATAATAAATAAATAAACAATTCTTTTGTTTCATCCCAAAACAGCATGCAAAACTGTGCCAAGATTTATTTTTAAAGTGTTTAATCAAACCACAGGCATTTCAGTATTAAACATTCCCAATATTATTGTTTATTTATGCAATAACATGTACTGGGATGTCTCATTAAAAAATAAATAAATAGAAAGCCTTTTTATTTATTCAAAACCAAAACAAAAATTCTTATTTGTTTTATTTCAGCTAGAATAAAAGCAGTTTTTAATTTTTTAAACATCATTTTAGGGACAAAATTATTAGCCCCATTAAGCTAAAATTTTCCTCGATAATCTAACGAGCAAACCATTGATATACAATAACTTGCCTAATTACCTTAACCTGCCTAGTTAACCTTATTAATCTAGTTAAGCCTTTAAATGTCACTTTAAGCTGTATTGAAGTGTCTTGAAAAATATCTAGAGAAATATTATTTACTGTCATCATGGCACAGATAAAATAAATCAATAATTAGAAATGAGTTACTAAAATTATTATGTTTAGAAATGTGCTGAAAAAATCTTCTCTCCAACAAACAGAAATTGGGTAAAAAATAAACAAGCGGTCTAGTAATTCTAGTAACCAAAACAAATAATGATCTATATTTGGCCATTCGTTGTATATAATATTATGTCATTTATTTATCCTAAAATGTAATACTGTGTATTGAGTTAACATTTCCTCATGTGTAATGGATAATTAATTCAACTGCATTTTGCAAAGTCACAGGTCACTGTGTCCTGCATTACAATACATTATACAGCACTGATTTACAGACTGCTGCATGTGCCAGAATCCCTTTTGATTTTTTTACCCTTGATTCTGTGCATCAATACCTTATTGTAGTTCAATTATTAATGACTCTGCAGTGCAGCCTGGAAAACGGCCACTACTCATTTCCCCTCCTTTTTTTTTTTTTGCTGTGTGCTCTGACATTCATCATGGTTTTAATAGATTACGTAAGTGTTAGGGTGACATTTTGCAAAACCAATACTTACCATTTCAAAATTAAGAAATGATTTATGGATGGATACTGATCGAATTATTTAAAATCACATCAATAAAGCTTCAAGTTCATACAACACATTACAAATTGAGCTGAATATTTATGGATTTTAGCAAATTGTTTGGTGTTTGGTTCTAACTTTTTTTTGTCCCCAAGCACCACATTGAGCAAAAATACTTTTGCTGTAAATTCCAGGATTTCCAATTTATTGATCACAATACTTTTTTTGGATTCACTAGATAAAGATTAAGAAGTTATTTTTGAACAATGTTAACATTAAAAATATCTCATGAAATCATATCTCTTTGATCCATTTTAGTACTTTAGTATCTTTTAATCGTGACAACTGACCTCTGGGTAATTTGGTTGCAATCAGATTGAAACGTCTGGATGAATTTATCTAAAATGGCTGCATGTGCTCATGTTTAGTTTGGGGAACGCATCTACAGTATAGATCTTCAAAATCAGCAATGCAGCTACTGTTTTTTTTTTTTCAATATCTTTGCTTGTAATCACTTTAAATCAAAAGCATCTGCTAAACCACTGAACAATGTAAAGCGAAAGGTAGTCTGTCCAGTATGGTTGTGCTTGTGTTTCTCATTTGTCTGCCCATTCCTTGACTTTCTGTCCGCCATGTAACAAAGCCAGCATGCCCTCTGGTGGTCTGAAGTATACATGCTTGTTGAAATTGAAACCGTACATTGTGTTCCTTATGAACCACGTAAGTAATTAAAATACAGTATCCGCCTTACCTGCGAATATGCAAGACTACTACAGCATGATTTATGATTATGGTAATGTAAATTTATAATTACAAATCCCAGTGTGTAATATTATTCCATTTTTTTTTTTACTTTTTTTAAACTATTATCTAAAATAACTGTAACATGTATACATTTTTTTGCCAATTTTTGACTCTTTTGGGCATCTTTAAATGGTTTATATACATACACAACCGGCATATAATGTATAATAATAATAAAGAACTGTTATATACTTACTTAAATAGTACTGTCAAAGGATTAACATTAAATAATACTCCAAATAAAACCAAACAAAATGTATATCCAAATGTATATTTGTTAGGTACATATAACTCTACACACATTCATGAAACGCAAAAATAAACAAAAAATATTTTGGTCAAAATCATGCTTTTTTTTCTTTCAAGATTCCTAGATTAATGAGTGGGATTTCTTGGGAATAGAAATATTGTGTAACATTACAATTGTTTTTACTGGACAGTAGTGATCCATTAAAATAAATAAATAAATAAATAAATAAATAAATAAATATTTTATTTATTTTTAATTATATTTATTTAATTTGATTTATTTATAATTATCTTTCTTTGCCCAACTTCTAATCATGGTAACACTTTACAATAAGGTTCATTAGTTAATGCATTTACTAACATGAACTAACTATGAACAACACTTGTACAGCATTTATTTAAAAAACCCTAATTATATTGTTTCACAGAAATGGACTGGGTATATAATTAAATGGGCATATAAGAAAATCAATGACAAAGTCAAAACAGGTGTCTGACCTCCATCAGGTAGGTTGGCCCAGAAGATGACACGGTATCCGAGCAGCATGCCGTTGAGGGCTTCTTTGGGCAGTGCAGACCATGACAGAGAGATGGTCTCAGGGGTCGTAGCTGTGGTCACAACGTTTTCAGGTGGGCGACTGGGAACTGTGAAACAACAGGATGGTATAAGAACCCAAGATACTCACAAAAAACATTTAAATTTCATACAAAACCATAACAAGGCTGGTGTTTGAAACTAACTGTGACTACTAGTTTAGACAAGTCTGGATCCTTTGTAATCATACAATAAGTAGGTGGGTTCTAGGGATTGCCATTTCTGAAATGTACAGCGAGTAAAATAAGTATTGAACATATCATGATTTTTCCTGGTAAATTTTTTCTAAATTAGCTTTTGACTAGGGCCGGGCGATTAATTAAAAAGTAATTGAAATTGAAATTCAGAACCTATAACCTACGTTTTCCTCGCTGTAACTGATGCTGATGCTGACCCCTTAAAACATGTAACTACACGTCACGGCAATGCATAGCGCAAGCTCTGTGATTGGACGGCTTAGTAGCATTGACAAGTGTGAGTGGCACAAAGAGGGCAATAAATAAATAAATAAATTAAATAATTTTTCATTAATCGGAATCGAGTTAAAATATTCAAGTAATCGAGATTTCGGTTTTAGGTCAAATCGCCCAGCCCTACTGTTGACAAAAAATTAATCTAGATTTTGATAAAGCCCCAAACAATCAATCCAACATCCAAAAAAGTCAGTGGAATGACAATAGATTAACACTAGTATGTATGTCTGAACTACTCATGTATTTAATACTACTCAAATGTATTTAATACTTTGTATCAAAGGCTTTTTTGGGTAATGACAGCTTCAAGATGCCTCTAGTATGAAGGATGTAGCCACATGCATTGCTTAGGGGGAACCCCTCCCCCCCTTAAAAATATCTTTAGAAATATGTTTTCACAGAAAATGGTGATAAATTCAATACTTACATTACTTGCCTACAGTAGATATTCATTTTATGGGGTGTGTACATTACCTTATACCCAAAATATAGCAATACAGGTAAATGTTGAGATTGGGAATCTTTTGGGCTCATAAATCACACAAAATGTATATTGAAAATGTAAAAATTTAGATTTGTAAAGTTTTAACCCCTTCACACCTGAATTATGTTCCAAATTTCAGAAAAATTGGATGAAGGGCTTAAAACCATTGTGTCTATGGGGAAGTTCACATAAGTATAGTGACTGAGAGTGTTCGGGTGGTTTTGGAAGAGCCACATTTCACTGGCAAACGTCCAGAATTTGTCTCATATATGAAATCATTTGTCTTATTTTAAATGCTATGCCACCATAATTATGGAAATAACCCATCGAAAAAGGTGTTAAACCAGGCAGAATGCTCTGTTTACCGTCCCTTCGGCGTGACTTCAGCTACCCAGTTTTACCCAATGCAAACAATTGTTTTTAGTCCTACATCCAGCTGTGCAAGAAAATGTACATTTTTGACGTAATTGAGGGCATCTTTCACTACTATCCTACTGTACTGTTATTAAAAATTGAATACATTTTACAATTAACTTTTATTCTAAATCTTGAACCTTATTCTTGACACAAAAAAAGACCAATAAAAAGGTGTGAAGCTCCATGAGCGGCCTATATTGTTATTCATGAATTTTCAAATGAAAAGTTGTGAAGCTCTACATTATGATTCTTATTTCTATTCTTGTTCTTCCTCCTATTCTTCTTCTATTATTATTATTATGTTTAAGTTTTTTATTATTCAAATGGCCAAATTTTGACTGAGCAAAGTTGAATGTTCTGGCCTGTTTGTTATTCGCCTAATAAATAACAATAGACTACAGTTTTTGATTTAAAACCTTAACAGATTTCTATTTTTTCCCTAATTATAAATGATGTGATGAATTTGTATTTTAAAAATAAATATATATTCATATTTATTTGTTTTAAATCTTTAGGAAATAGTTTTGGTACATCAACACCTGACCAGCGAATCCAGCTATAAACATTTTTTTAAAATGCTGAATTTAAATTTCATAATTAAACAGAAAATGAGCCGAATAAGTGCACACAGGTCCATTTGTTGAGAACAAAAGAACCATCGCTTTCACCAGGCTCCCTAAGGGCCTGACAGTGATACAACATTGTATATTGACTTGGGTATGACTCAGTTGTGCTCTATTAAGAGGGTTTACAGGGTCACATCTTGTGTTTCTGTACCTAAGAATGCTAAAAATCATACTTAAAGTCTTTTCACATTCAAACTTTGCCACAGGTTCCTTGTAAGAGTTGGGTTTAGGGATAAGGCCATATATTCAGCTTTATTTGTATAGCGCTTTTACAATGTAGATTGTGTCAAAGCAGCTTCACATAAATGGTTATAGTAACTGGATCAGGGTAGTTCAGTTTTTAGTGTTTAAGTTCAGTTCAGTTTAGCTCAGTTCAGTGTGGTTTAAAGTCATTACTGAGAGTCCAAACACTGAAGAGCAAATTTATTGATGCGTAGCTCTACCGATCCTGAACCATGCAAGCCAGAGGCAACAGCGGAGAGGGAAAAAACTTCACTGATAGGAGAGTGAAGAAAAAAAAACCTTGAGAGAACCAGACTCAGTTGGGCACGACCATTTTAATTTCTCCGCTGGCCAAAAGTCTTGTGTGTGTAAAAATAATAAGTGTTTTTTACTATATAAAATACATTACACCTATGAAGTATGCAAGTATGTGAATGTGTGTAAATATTAAGGGCGTACAATTGTAATTGATGGAGGGGACGTGTCCTCACCAATATCCACCAATTACTGAAATATCCCTACCAATAATTAAATCGACAAAAAAATCAGAATAAAATAATGCTCCGCCGACCCTTAGTAAATCAAGTTTGCTCCCTTTCACTATAATACTATATTAACCAAGGCTGTGCAATTATTCAAAATTCAGATTTGGCCTCCATGATTATGAAAAACAATAATCGAGACAAAACAGTTCAATTGCGGCACACACCTCTCTAAATTTCTCTATAATCATACCCCTCAAAGCCAGATTGCAGTAAAACCATGTAAATTGACTTTTGCAGCACGAAACGTGATTATTAGTATTACTACATATAAGTGTTTCGAGAGTTCACCCTTAGCTGATGATTGATTATAGAGCATGTGTTGCATGCTGTCCCGGGAGAGAGCCCTGAGCTTATGAGATCCTCGAGCCCAGGGCTCCCTCCCGTTGTAGGGCGAGAGAAGAATTTGAGCTCAGGTAGGTCTCGTGAACTCCCTCGCTTGTTATGGCGAATAGGAATAAGGAATTACTGTGGATAGATATACAACTGATTAAGTGTTCTTCTATGGTGTCGATTTGGTTTGGTCAATTGACTTATGTCACATGTCTTGCCTGTTGGAGGAAATCAGGGAGCCCGGGCGGAAACCCACATGAGCACGGGGGAAAATGTTAAGTCCACACAGTAATGTCAACTTGGCCAGGTAAAGACTTGACAAAGTGACATTCTTGCTGTGAGGTAACAGTGCTAATCACTGGGCCGCCGTGTCGCCCTGTCAAGGGAAAAGAGAGAGAAGCAGGGGTAGAAGGGGGGATTTTTCAACATGAAGATGACTAAGGTAGATGCTCTGGTTATTTATAGTGAGTTAGGCTTCGTCTGATTGGTGGATCATATATTAGCTAATGCGCGACCGGCTGCACTCAATCATAAGCACGTGATCCTCTTGAAATTAGTTTATAAATTAACTTTTTTAAATTTTTATTATAAAGTACTTTATTAATCTTTTTTTAAAGCGCAAAACTTTATTTTGATGGTCCATTTGTTGAATTTAAGTTAAATTGCAACTAATTCTCATTATATTATAAGTAGACTGTTAGGTTGGGGTTGTGGCGACGCAGTGGGTAGCACGTTCGCCTCACAGCAAGAAGGTCGCTGGTTCGATCCTCGGCTCAGTTGGCGTTTCTGTGTGGAGTTTGCATGTTCTCCCTGCATTCGCGTGGGTTTCCTCCGGGTGCTCCGGTTTCCCCCACAGTCCAAAGACATGCGGTACAGGTGAATTGGGTAGGCTAAATTTTCTGTAGTGTGTGTGTGTGTGACTGTGTGTGTGTGTGTGTGTGTGTGTGTGTGTGTGTGTATGTTTCCCAGAGATGTGTTGCAGCTGGAAGGGCATCCGCTGCGTAAAAACTTGCTGGATAATTTGGCGGTTCATTCCGCTGTGGCGACCCCAGATTAATAAAGCGACTAAGCCGACAAGAAAATGAATGAATGAATGAATAAATGTCTGTTGAAGGAGCATATCAACATATATTTAGCAGAAAGTCTAATATTACTCAAACGGACCATCAAAATAAAGTGTTACCAAACTATTTTTGCAATGCATGCACTCTAGAATTGTATGTCCCCACTCCCCACTAATGTCAAGAGCACATCTATGCCCTTGGTACATATTATATTTCAATAACTTGAGAACACAGGGAAATGGACTTAATTAGGCGACTAACCATCCTCTAGCGTGGTGATGGTGATTTCCTCTGAGGTTGGCCCCATTCCTGCTCGATTGGCTGCTTGCACCCGCACCTCATACTGCGTGTACTTCTTCAGGTTATCAAGAGTGAGGGTTTCAATGTCTCCCGTGGTGTCGACGTTGATGGTGTTGTATTGTGGGCTGCCTCCTGTCCCGAACTCCCGATAGCACACTTGGTAGCTTCGGATCAAGCCATTTTGCAAGTGTTTGTGGGGGGGCTGGAAAGATACAGCAAAACAGAACTTGATATTAAGAGATCATAAAATATAACTTTTCAATTTGTAAAAGCAAGTATTTTTCTACTGATGGGAAAACACTGTATTTTGAGTGTTTAGAAATTGTATGGGTGTGCTAAAACCTACAGGCATATCATAAATACTTTTAGAAACTGGATCCCTCTAGCAAAACTGTTAAACTTTAACATCACATTGTTTACATTTATGTATACTCCATTCATTCAGCATTTTCCTAAAGGGCTCATGAACTGAGTAATCAAAAATGGCATTGATCTTTTGAAATAAAAGGTGTCACGGTGTTATGAAAACATTTGTTTTTGGAACTCAGAACTTCTCAAAACCCTTTTTGTTAAACTAAAAACAGCTTTGTTTTGAATGCAGTCTGCTAAAATGACACACAAAATCCTGGTTTCCATACAATAACTTCATGTTGTCCCAACACAAATTGCTTAAGTTTACTTAATCGTTTGTTACAAATTCAAGCGGATTAAACATAGGACTTAAGACGAATATAAATGAATAAATTAATTTGAGCAAGCAGCAAAAGTCTTGAAAGTGGGAAATTATGGAGCTACAGTAATAATATGCCAAACAATCTGAATGTGAACTGTGTTCATTTGAATTATTTACAGTTGTCATTTAATAAATCAGAATTTTTATATGCCATTACAATTTTGTTGAATATGAATGACTTATTTTAAATTTCTTAATTTGAATTTGAATTTCATAACTTGAATGTTGAATTGAATTTAATTTAATACAACAGATTTTTTTAAGTCCAATTTTTGTTCTGAATTCATAGACTTCAAATACCCGTTTTAAGTTTTCAAGTTGAAGAAATTCAGAAAAAATTCAATATTCTGAAATTCAAAACCAGAAATTCAGATGGCGAAATTCAGATTCAGCGCAGAAAGTAGCTCAACATTTTTTTAGATAGCAAATAATATTGACATTAGCCGTTTTTATTAATATTAAAAAAAAATGAAATAAAGAATTTGACCTGTCAAATTCAAAACTAAAAAGCTAAAAGAAATAACACTTTCTCCAGGAGAAAAATACAATAGAAATACTGTGGAAAATGCCCTTGCTCTGTTAAACATCACTCATCACTTTTTTTCTTTACTTCGGCAAGAATAAAAGCAGTTCTTAATTTTTTAAAAACCATTTTAAGGTCAAAATGATTAGCCCCTTTAAGCAATATTTTTTTCTAGTCTACAGAACAAACCATCATTAACTTGCCTAATGTACCCTAACCTGCCTAGTTAACCTAATTAATCCAGTTAAGCTTTTTTAATGTCACTTTAAGCTCTATAGAAGTCTTCAAAAATATCAAGTAAAATATTATTTACTGTCATCATAGCAAAGATAAAATACACCAGTTGTTAGAAATGAGTTATTAAAATTATTATGTTTAGAAATGCGTCGAAATAATCTTCTCTCCATTAAACAGAAATTGGAGAAATAAATGAACAGGGGGGCTAATAATTCAGAGGAGCTAATAATTCTGACTTCAACTGTATGTGTATAATTAAATCATGTAATGGTACCCCTATACTCTAAGCTACTGAGTGAAGAGGAATTTAAAAACTTTCTTCCTATTTCTGACACACCTGGGAACAAAGTATTGATGACCTGATGGTAACAATAAGAAGGTGTTTGATAAAAGATGTCTCTCATGATTGACAATCATGATAGTCTTATTTAGTACTCTTTCTTTATATTAATGCTCTTTAGTTTTAATCCCAACAATTTACTGGCTGTTGTTATCACCTTCCTCAGTGACCTCTACTGGACCTCAGAAGCATTTCCATACTCAGATCACCAGATTACCATTAGTCAGATTACCATTCAACAGATCACACAAAATGTTGCAATACTTTCAATAAATGCACTATAGAACATGATCAACAATGTGTTGTCAACATTAAAAGACAATAGTGTCTTTAAGAAGTACATTCTCTGTTAAAGCTTTTTCCTGACGCAGTTAGTCTATACGTCCAAGTTAAGTTTACATCAAGTCAACATCACACCCAAATATTTATAATTTGTTACTAACGGAATTTGCTCCCCATTAATTAATGTGGGGATGAGTTTTGCTTTTTGCTCTCTCTCTCTGGGCTCAATGAACCACTTTTTAAAATCCATGGTTGCATAAAAAGATCAGTATGTCAAAGAATTATATTGACAACTTTGCTTTCTCAGAATAACTAGGGCTGGAAATCTGTTAATTTTATCAGAAAGAAAGTGGTGTTTAGCACAGGAAATCACTAGGAAAGTTAGAAGTAGATCAGAAAGAATAGTGGGAAATATTGTGAAAATTTTTCAAACTTATTTTCCTCAATCCTTATTAGATTATATATCAGAATCCATGTTAAACAACTTCACGGAATTCTTTTTTCCAGAAATGCATGTAACGCCAAAATAGAACCCTTTGAAAATAATAATGATGATGATGTTAACTCGCTTCTATCTTTTAAAAATGTAAAAAGTCTACCTTTTTCTATAACAAATAAGCGAGTTTTATATAATATTTGTGTAAAGTTATTTTTATCAGACAGTTAAAAGGAAGGAAAGATACAAAATGGAGATCTTTGTTGTCTGAATGTGGAGTTAATTCACCTTCTTGGCATTTCTATACAAAAACCCTCTACCAAAAAGGCCTGGGGCCTCATGTATCAACGCTGCGTACGCACAAAAACTTTGCGTACGCCAGGTTTCACGCTCAGAATCGCTCACGTTTGGATTTACTAACAATGAACTGAACGTGGGAATGTGCGCAGGTTCACGGCAGCTTTCTGGCAGGCGTACGCACATTTTTTGTGCGTGTCTGTTTTATTTCCATTGGCGACTCCTAGAGGCAGTTGTGTTAAATTCTTCTCTACAAAGTGTCTGATCCTTGCAATGGCAGCTGTATGAGACGGGTTCATATAGTAGGTATGTAAGATTTCCATACCATACAGTTGACCAGCTAAACATTAAAGCACAATTTGCAGCGGTCGCCTGTTTTCCCAATGTAATCTGAGCAATCTACTGCACACACATTGCTATAAAGACACTATCTGAAGATGAATTTGCATGCGTGAATCAGAAACATTTACATTCAATAAATGTGCAAATAAAATATGATGCACAAACTTATTGATGATTCCTACTTGTCTTTCTCGTGATAAATAGTGGGCAAAATCTGATATGTAGCGGGAAAAAAAGAAGAAAGAGTTCATCAGACGCTGGATTCGAGCCGAGTTTATGCTCGAACGTGTCAGTGCATGATCACATGCTTCTTATGAGGTGCGCCACTGAGACTGCTAATGATACTGCAACATTTTTCAGTTATAAACCACACTATTTCTTTTTTAAATGCACTCAGTGCGATGTTCAGACCCAACTGTGTTAACCGTATCAGCTAAACTCTCCCACTCTATTTTTTTCTTTTGTTGTTAATTCCGGAGAACAAACTTGCAAATAACACCGCTTTTCTCCGGTCTACCTCCGAAAGCAGCACCTCCAATTCACATTCTGTTCAAAGTTTCTCTTTTTGCTTGATTTTGCCATTGCTTTTTCGTTGGGTTTTTCCATTAGCATAGTCATTAGCATATTCATACGGGGGAGGAGGCAGGGAGGGGTTTTGTGCTCGTGCATGTTGCGCTCAGTTTCACGTTCATTCAGATGTACAAAAGAATATGCGTGAGATTCGGCGTACGCAGTGTTTCATACATCTGAATTTTTTTCTGCGTACGCACATTTACAGCTTTGTGCGTACGCAAAGTTTTAGTAAGATTTCCACGCAAGTCTTCGTACATGAGGCCCCTGGTGATTTGCAATGATAATTTGCGCTGTTCTTTGCTAACTAGAGTGATTTTGTTTAGATTAAATTTTCCAGATTCTTCTTTCTGTCCTGTGTGTAAAAAACTTTATGACGTTTTCCATGTTTTTTTACGAATTATTGCCACTTTTTAATATGTTTAAGAGGATTTTTAGCAGGTTAGGACTTAATTTTACGAATATAATGTTCATTTAGGGTCAGAAGTACTCTTTAAAAAAAAAAAAGAGATTTGTACTTTTTCCAACTTTCTGATCGGCCAGGCAAAATTAGCTATCTGGAAGGCATACAGAGCTGACTTGGAAGGTCAGAAAGTTAATGTAATTATTTTGTTTAAAGCTTTTGTAGAATCAAGAATTCATTTAGAATATGAATATTATCGAATGACCAATGATGTATTGAGTTTTGAAAAAAAAAAAGGTGCATTAACAAGGGCTTTGTATTTGTGGAAGACAATAATAACATTTTTTTTTGACTGGGAAAAAGATCAAACTTTGGTTTTATGAATGAAATGATTTTAATTGTATATACTGTTAAATAAATAGCTTTTTAAAAGTAAAAAAAAAAAAAAGTATCTCTCTCTTTAAAATCACCATCTCCTTAGTTTTAGGAATGTTTAGGAGAAGGTTTGAATTTTCACACCAGTCTAAAAAGAAGTCAAGAACAGAGCCGTGTTCTTCCTTCTTAAATCAGAGATCAAGGCCCCATAATGCAATTCACAACCGTAAATAAACAGAAAAACACTTGATGAGTTTAGATGCAAAAACCTCTAAGTGCCGTCAGAAATTTAAATCGAAAATGAGCATTACTCGCAGCCTCCATTGTTTATGTTAAATTATTTCACTTTGAAGACCATGAAAATCACTTATTCTTTGCCATAAAAGTAAAATTACTGAACTTACACACAAGAGCTTGATAAAAATGCTCATATTACAAGAACATTTTAGATGGCATTCAGAGGGTTTTGCTTCTGAACTATTCACTTGTAAATCACAAAATACAAAACTGTTAATTAAAATATATTTTTACAGTGTGTGCAGAAATCTACAAGTACTAGCTCACCTTCCATGTGACTTTGATGCCCTGGGATGAGATCGCTTCCAGCTGCACGTCTTGAGGAGCTCCGTCGGGTGCTGGATTGAATGCGTATCAGACAGGGAAAATAATGGATTTATCCACTAGGTGGCGCCACAGATAACAAAATATCTCATAATACAGCAGGAAACCTCACAAAGGCCCACATTATTTTGAGTTGTGGGAATACTCACGTGCTTCGTCAGTGGTGATGGTCAGCTCGTTGCTCGGTCTGCTTTCTCCGATCTGGTTTTTGGCGAACATGCGGATGTTGTAGGTGGAAGCAGGGTGAAGCTCAATGATGGTGGCCTGATTCAGCTGAGGGGAGACGTCTTTGGTCATTTGTGATGAGGCCCAGGAAGCTTCAAGAAATACAGAGAAATTTAGAGTATGTGATGATGCAATATAAACCACAAGAAGGATCACAACTTGAAGATGTAATTATAAAAGTAAATCAACATTTCATACACAGTTGAAGTCAGAATTATTAGCCCCCTTTGATTTTTTTTTATTTTTTAAATTTTTCCCAAATGCTGTTCAACAGAGATTTTTACAGTATGTCTGAAGATTTTTTTGCTTCTGGAAAAAAAGTTTAATTTGTTTTATTTCGGCAAGAATAAAAGCAGTTTTTAATTTTTTTTAAAAACATTTTAAGGTCAAAATTATTACCCCCTTTAAGCTATATATTTTCTTCATAATCTATAGAACAAACAATCGTCATAAAATAACTTGCCTAATTACCCTAACCTGCCTAGTTAACCTAATTAACCTAGTTAAGCCTTTAAATGTCACTTTAAGCTGTATAGAAGTGTCTTGAAAAATATCTAGTAAAACATTATTTACTGTCATCATGACAGATAAAATAAATGTATTAGTTATTAATGAATATATTTGAAATGAGTTATTAAAACTATTATGTTTAGAAATGCGCTAAAAAAATCTCTCCGTTAAACAGAAATTGGGGGAAAAATAAACAAGGGGGTTAATAATTCAGGGGGATAATAATTCTGACTTTAACTGCATTTCTAAAAATAAGTTTTACTAACTAATTTCTAATTGAATTATTTTTGTCATGATGACAGTGCATGCTATTTTACTAGATATTTCCAAGATACAAGACTTAACGTGATTTTTAAAGGCTTAACTAGGTTAATTAGGCAAGTTGAGGTGATTAGGTACACTGAAAAAAAAAGATTTAGAGGTTGCAAACAATTTATGTGGGTTGAACTTAAACAAATTAAATTTAGTAATTTGTTCAACTTAATTTGTTTAAATTCAGACCAAATATATTTACACTTAACTTAAAAAAATAAATCCAACGAATCATCTTTGAATCCTTTTTTTTCAGTGCATGTCATTGTATGTGATTAGCAGTGATTTGTTCTGTAGACTATTGGTGACAAAATTTCTAAGAGGGCTAATAATTAGGCTGACCTTAAAATGGTTCAAAAAAATATTTCTTTTCTATTCTAGCCGAAATAAAACAAAAAATAAATTTATTTGCAGTATCCCAATTCAAATCAATTAAGTTAACAAATTTAAGTGGATTAAATATAAAACAATTAAGTTGTACTCAAAAAATATCAAGAATTGTGTTGTTTCATCTTAATGTAAATAAGTACAGTTAAAGTCAGAATTATTACAATTATTACAATTTGTATCATCATATATCATCTTCTACCTGATTTGTTTTTATAGTTGATGTCGTATCCTGTAATGGGGCTGTTGCCATCAAAGCCCATGGTCCAGCGAAGTGCGATGGTCCGGTCCTTTACTTCTCTGATCTCAACCTCAGGAGGGTCAGGACGATCTGCGAGAAAAGCATGGTAACAAAATTTAATCACAATATTTAACGAGTGAATGACAGAATTCATTCAAGTTAAGAAGAAAAAATAAACTCCTGGAAAAAAAACTAGTGGGAGTAAATGATTCTTTCTTTCTTTCTTTCTTTCTTTCTTTCTTTCTTTCTTTCTTTCTTTCTTTCTTTCTTTCTTTCTTTCTTTCTTTCTTTTTTCTTCCTTTCTTTCATTATTTCTATCTTTCTTTCTCTTCCTTCCTTCCTTCCTTCCTTCATTTTCTTTCTTTCTTCCTTCCTTCCTTCCTTCCTTTCTTTCTTTCTTTCTTTCTTTCTTTCTTTCTTTCTTTCTTTCTTTCTTCCTTTCTTCCTTCCTTCCTTCCTTCCTTCCTTCCTTCCTTCCTTCCTTCCTTCCTTCCGCTGTATTTTTTAACATTTCTAAAACATTATGGGATTTAAAAAAATATATATTTTGATCACCAGTATATAAAACCTGAACAGTCAAATAAATCGTCAAACAATCGTCACCTTGAACTATGAGCTGAATGATTCCTTTATCTTCACCATAAGAGTTAATGGCGATGCAAGAGAAAAAGCCAGAATCCTCTCTGACAGTGTGTAAGATCTGTGGGGGAAAAATGTAAACACAATGTAATAATGACTATTAATGCACTTTACTGAATGCTGAAAGAGATATCGCTACTGTACTAAGAGTTTTGCTGTTCAAATCTGACAAATCTACTTAATAACAATCAAAAGAAGTAAACATAGAAGTTCACTGAGGCAAAACTGGTAAATGATTTGAAAATAAAAGATACGAGTTATACAAAAAACATACCTTAAGTGGTTTGATGCAATATAATACAAACCTTTCAACTGAGATTCCAATACTCAAATGAATACGTTTTGGTAAGTTTCATTAGTCAGTTAACTGGAATTGCGGATTTATTTAAGATTTTTTGTACTTAAATGGAGTAAGTTCACGGTACTCATAAATATTAGTTTTCAACTTAATTGGTTTCCTCAAAAGGTTTAGTTTAAGTTCCCTTATGCCGAGTTCAGACTGCATGATTTTAACCCCGATTTTGACACGCCGACAGGTTTTAACAAATCATCGACAAATGGCTGAAATCACAGGCATGCCGTTGCTCATGCAAGTGAGCGACAATCACACAGTATGAACTATCAAAGACGCGATCTGAGAGAATCGCCGATGAGTCGCCGACACTCGTGAAATATTTGGCATGCTAAATATCTGGAGCTCTAGGCGATTCAAATCATTGACTGAAAATAACATCTGCGAGCACCTGCAGCCCATGAGAGAGGAGCATCTAGTAGTGTGGTGACCTGCAGGCCAGCGGGAGGTTGGTGAGAAGTTAAAATCACTCATTGTCAGTTTATTTGGACCCAAGAAATGGAGGAAAAACTAGTGGAAATTTGGCAGCAGCATCAGTGTCTGTTTGACGTGTTATCTGAGCAAAACCACAAAAAAAAAGTTCGAAAAAAAAAAGGTTGAGCAGAAATTACTAATTCCCTTCAAACCTAGGTGAGCAAATTTGTACATTAAAGGCTCCTTTCTCGTTATATTCAATTACAAAATATGTACGACATGTTTTTGATTGTGAGAGGTAGTTTAGACAAAGTTGTCGGCGATTCTTCCTATTTTAAAGTCATACAGTGTAAAGCCCCCTGTTGATCAGGCAGTGTAAACAAAGCAGTGACAAAACGCTAGCCCAGATAGTCATGCAGTGTTTAAACAACTGTGACATGACTACTTTGAAAATCATGCAGTCTGAACTCGGCATTAAAGGTATAGTTCATCCAACAATGAGAATTCTGACATCATGTACCCACCATTTATGAGTTTCTTTCTTCTGTTGAACACAAGAAGATATTTTTATTGTTGGAAACCTGTAACCACTAACTTCTATTGCATTTATTTTTTCTACTATAGAAGTCAACGGTTACAGGTTTTTAGCTTTCTTTCTCAAAATGTCTTTTTTTGTGTTCAACAGAAGAAAGAAACCAAGGTTTGAAACCAAGTTATGCATAGTAAAGTTCGATTCATTGGTTGATCTCTTAAACCAGGGGTGCTTAAACTTGGTCCTGGAGGGCCAGTGTCCTGCATAGTTTAGCTCCAACTTCCTTCAATACACCTTATGGGTGTTTCTAATACACCTTGATTAGCTGGTTCAGGTGGGTTTGATTGGGGTTGGAACTGAAATATGTAGGACACCGGCCAGGGCCGGCGCGTCCATAGAGGCGACCTAGGCAGCCCCTTAGGGCGGCAGTATAGAGAGGGCGGCATCAGTGACACCTCCCTTACCACCCGCGTCCTCAGTTATGTCCGCGACACCTCCCTCACCACCCGCGTCTTCAGTTATATTCGCGAATAGGCGACAGAATAGAGAGGACGGCGTCAGCGACACCTCCATCAGCACCCGCGTGTCCTCAGTTATATCCGTGCATAGGGCGGCAGAATAGAGGTCCGCTACACCCGCGCGTCCTCACTCAGTTATATACGCGCATAGGGCGGAAGAATGGAGGTCCGTGACACCTCACTTCATTTTCATAAACGGTCACTTTCGTTTTCACATTGGGGTTGAGGGCGGCGTGATCGTCCTCTGCCTAGAGCGGCAGTTTAGCTTTCTCCGGCCCTGACATCGTCCCTCCAGGACTGAGTTTGGACAACCCTGTCTTAAACCTATTGGGATTACAGTGTTTGATCACTATACTAAAGTATTACCTATGCTAAAAACACTATACTAATCAGAGGTGTGAGCCTACACTGGTCTCACGGTTCGAATCGGTTTCGAACCGAATTTGGTTCAATTTGATATCTCGGTGCATCACGGTGCATTGACGATGCTTTCCATACACTGATTTATATTTTTTTCACAGCACAGCGAATCTTGTATTAAAATGTATAAATATTTCCTTGCTCTGTTAAATATTTAAAACGAAAAATAAGTTCAAAGGGGGGCTAATAATTATGACTTCAACTGTACATATATATATATATATATATATATATATATATATATATATATATATATATATATATATATATATATATATATATATATATATAGTCCAGAGCAAAGCTGAATATGTGTGTTTAAATGAGGCATATGATTGCATTTCCAGTTAAGATGGGGGCCTTTGCTCACCTGCAGGGTGGATATGACCTCATCCCCCACTTCCTTCACAGTAACCACATAACGGCTCATGTCTGGGTTGATGATATGAGATTCCTTCTCCCAGCGAACCTTGATGGGCTTTTCACCGTGAGCAGTGCAGCTCATCTCAGTCATGTGACCCTGTTCTGCCCGTGTGGTGTTGGGGTAAGATGTGATCATGGCAGGAACTGAAGAGAGGGAGGAAAAGAGGCAGAGAGTGATGTTTTGGATGAAATTATAAATAACATCAACGACAGCCCATTCAGAACACATTTCACATGCTCAACATGGAACCAATGCACTTTAACAATTATTATTAACACCATAAATCCGGTTAACATGTAGGCCTTATTTGGGTGTTGCACAAAAAGTGCATGAAAATAATTTATGTAAAGATTATTTTGTGAAAACAACCAACTGGATGACACGACTAACCGTAAATCATCTTCCTCTGTCAATAAGCGTGAGCCATAACATACTTGCTTTTGATGCACGTACATACAGAAAATGCTGCTTCGCAGAGCCAAGTTCACAGAGCCCTGACAGTGTGGTTGAGTTGAACATTGAGTACGTTTACAAGGACACCGTTACTTTATCAGATTTTAATACAATTAAGACAATACTTTGATTAAGAGGCACCATGTAAACAACGCTTTTTGATTACTTTAATCCAACTAAAGTCATACCTGAACTAAACAAGAATGGAATTAAGACTTGGAGTATGCATATATTAGTGGTATTATTAAAATAAACACCGCCATCAAACTATTACCGCCATGTAGGACTTTACGGCATATTTTCCAACAAGATCCACACAGGCGGCTGTCAGTAAAGGATCCCAGACACACACATCGCGAAATGAGGACGTTTTTTCTTTCCATTAATTATTCAATTTCAATAGCACTCTTCCACCAGTCCTTACTCCTTATTTGTTAAGAAGGAACATATAAACGTTATTTGACTAACATCTAGCTGCTAGATGTTAGAGGTAACATCACCTCACATTTTGAGGTGTTGCGCCACACTGTTTAAATAGCAAATGCATTTGCGCTCAAATGTGCGCCATAGGCGTTCTGGTCTAAAAAAGCAGGCGTGTTTTGGCGCGTTGCTATTTTGAGAAACTGTAAGTAGTCTGTACTTTAGACCAGAACAAAGTCGGTCTATTGTCTGGCGCAAAGTGCGCCTGGCTTACACACTACACACAAGATGTAGAGCAATACGCAAATATCTTTACATATGAAAAATATATAATATATTAAGGATGGATATATGTATATATATATATATATATATATATATATATATATATATATATACATATATATATAATAAGGATATATATATATAGGATATAAATATAAATGATTAAAATATTACAAAACATATTAATTTTTAGCCTACATGAATTTAAATACCACTGCCGTCATACTTTCTTCATCTCGGGAGGCTTTTTCAGTTAATTCAATTTGCTTTTGTATAATGTTATTATTATTAGCAGTTTTGTTGATTATATGCATATTTATGTTTGTTTTATTAAAAACAAGCTTAGATTTGTCCACCTGTCAGGTTTTAGACCATATGAGGCATGGCAGGTGTATTTGGAAATAACTCAGTATTTTGACCACACTTTGTTATTATTGTTCATTTATTTGTTTGCTGGAAATTAGAACTGAATTTAGAAATAGTTTTGAAACAAATCATTGCGCTTAACAAACGAAATTAATTATTTATAGGCTAATTGATGTCTGTGCGTAAAGGTTTCCCTATCCACGAGAGCAAAAGCGAAAGTGAACTTACTTTACGTCATGTGCGCTTATGGCGTGACGCAGCTGGCTCTTAAAGGTAATGGGAGATGAGACTCTGGTTGGTTTATTCTCAAAACACACCTATAACTCATTTAGAAAATAAACTCAACCCTTTTAGACCATGTGCCACGGACCAAAGCGGATTTTCCCGTCCTTAAATTAGCAAAGTTAAATTAAATTAGCTAATTTACCGGTATTTTCAAAAAGGGCCTGTTCACACACACACCTTTCCGAAAAAATTGCCGGTATAATTTTCCGGAAAGGTCTGTATGTGTGAAAAGGGCTAAAGAAAAGGTGTAAAGCACCAAAAGCGACCATTTAGCTGTTGTTATCCATGAATTTTTTTGTTATGATGACCATCCGACAATCTATTTCAGCTTAAATAGTGCTTGAAATGTCACTGTAATGCAGTATTTTAATATCATAATAAAGTAGTAGCCTAAATGAGGTATATAACCGCAAAAAGGTAAAATTTTTGAGAATAAAAGAACCACCCCTTTCACCAGGCTGGCTACGGGCCTGATAGTCAAAGTACACAGCTGGGAGAAGGTATACAGTACATTACTTTAGTACAGCTAACATGAAAAGTATGAGTTCAAAAATTAACATCAGAACAGCTTCATGGACAATTTTACACACAGAAAAAATATTCTGCTTGTGTTTCATAAACGAAGCCCACTGAGATTACTGTCACGAATTGCTTTTTTTTTGACATTCTCCTGAACATTGTATAAGCATTTTTATTGCATTTCACACAATAAAAATGCACGCCTTGGTGCAGACAGTTGATCATTGCCACAGCTGCATGTCTCTCTTAGTTCCATATAGAGTGATCCGATCACCTCAAATGAAGAAACAGAGCAGAAAGCAAACTGGGCTGCTCACACTGCAAGCACAGACATGAAAAGAGCCGCAAAACCTGCTCAGGCCCGTCTCACCCTGCACTGTCTTAAACCTTGTTACCCTGGAGCAGTGTGAGGGATCTCTTTCGCTTTCTCTCTCTCACTCTCTACTTGGCTATGATTAAATGATGAGCACACTTCGATTATTCACTTAGATTCACACTAGCACTTTTTTTCCAACCCAGGTTAAATACATTGCTTGAGGTACGTTTTGCTGCACGTTTCAGATGACGATGTCATTAGAGAACGCTGTCTACATTTTTGTGAATCTGAAATTTGCTAATTAGAGTATGTTTTTGTTTTGCACTTCAGATACATTTACTTCGGTAACACTTTATAATAACTACACACTATAAATCATTTATTAAGCATTAGCAAATAGTGAACTCATTATCTGTTAAGCATTAACTCTACATTAATAAACGTTAGTAAGCATTTTATAACTGCAGCTACAAATGCTGTATTCTTGACTTATAAGCACTTATATAATGTGTTTAATGATTGTATTTTCATACTTAGTTAATGATTTATTTTTCATTAATAAATTAAGTATCAAATTATTTACAAACTGTTTGTATTTAAGAGTAGTTGAGGGTTTTTAGGATTATTCAGAATGAGTTAGTAAATGATTAATAAACTATTGAAATCAACATTTATATGTCTTATTATTCAGGCATATACTAATGGTTACTATATATGTTAATAAATGCTTTATTAACTCAACGTCATGCAGTTTTGTGACCTAATCTAAAGTGAGGACTGTTCATGCTTTATAAATCCCTTATAAATGACAAATAAAGGCTCAGTTAAATTCTAAACAGGAAAAAAAGACATTATTCATTTCTCTTCATTTAAAGATGCACAAATGAAACTGTACTTCAAATGAACAATGCATCTTTGCAACCTTATCTAAAATAAAATCACTATAGAGTTTAAACATTACATTTTATTTTATTGTTTAATTATTATATTGTTGTTTTATCCAGTTATATTTTGACACTCCTGTTATTTGGCAATGTTTGAACTTTACAGTAATTTTACTTTTTAGAAAGATTGCACAGATTATCGTTCATTTGATTCTGAGCCTTTATTTTTCATTTATAAGGCATATGATGTTTTGTTTCATAATGTCTTTTAATATTATATTCCTTCATTACTGCAACTGATTCCTGACAAATTAAACAGACACATTTCCCGCTGACCTCTGTGAAGAAATATTCTTTGACCCAACGTGACTGAAATTTCCTGCACTCACTGTTGGTTTTCCTTTTTCTTGGTTGTGCCATCATGGCTCGGCAAAACGTGATTATCAATTATATTTCTTTCAGTTTGTTCAGTTTGTTTTACTTCATAACAGGAACTGCTGCCTAATTGAAGACATGTCATACGATACCCCGTGGTTATTTATGGAATTACGCTCATTTTTGTATAGCGGGCCAGATTCTATTAATATTTATAAAAAGCCTCGCGGGCCGCCACAAAACTGTTTGTAGGCCACAGATGGCCTTGCAGTTTGGACACCCCTGCTCTATATGACCCTGGCAGGCAGATATTTTGCACAAAAAAGACTTTTAAGGGTCGCAAATCTATTTCATCACACTTAAGTTGAAAATAATGCACAATAAATATGTTTGCCAACACATGCTTTGATGAATTAAATTAAGTAGTGAGTTTATCACTCCCTGTTTCATTGGCATTTTTGTCCAAATTTATTTTTGTTACATCCAGATTTCCTGGTTTCCAACCGTGTTCAACAGAACACTCATAAAGCTCTGGAAGCACTTGAGGAAGACTAAATGATGAGTACATGTCATTTTTGAGATGAATTTTCCCATCAGCTGCTCAAGGACAAACAGACAGGAAGAGACAGAATAAAGGGGAACACAAATGCAGTTTTGTGGGTCGACCCTCCCCGTGCCTAGGCTCATATGCTGCTGAGGTTTAGCGCGGTGTGAAGTGGCGGAAGTTGACATGATGAAGAGTGTCAGAGTCAGGCCTGCGAACGTTTAACTCTCATCTCTTATTCACTCACAAGCTCCGTGCAGCAGCTCCATATGAGAGAACGCTGATTTATTTTGCATGACAACTATGAATTTTAAGTAAGACACATTAAAAAGCGAAAATATCCCTCCGCCTGCTCTAAATGTTATTGCTCTTTGGCAGCGAGGGCTTTTCTCTGAAGATCTAATGTGCATTCGAAAATTGCAGCCTGAAGATGTGAATTTTTACTGACGACTGAGAAGTTTTTATTTGTTTATTTATTTTAAAAGCCTTTTTTATTGTTAGAAATATTTAAAAATTGTTTTCAAAATTTGAAAAAATAGAAGGTGGCAACGGTGAATTTACTAATAGTTAACTAATAATTAACTAATAGTTAATTATTAAATTCATGAGCAAATGAAAAATTTTTCATGTTTTTCAAGTTTTTACATGATAGTGGTGCCTTTTCCAATTGGTGGATCACGTTTAACCATGCCATCG